CAACTAAATTTATTTCAATAAATCATTTAACTCTTTTATTTTAATTGCTCTCCATCAAATGTAACATGATTGGTATCAACATTCAAATAATTTTTTACCCTCTACCAAATGTTAGAGAGCTGCAGTACTCTTCATAAAATTCTGACGGTTCCTGGCAGTGTCGCATTCAGCAGTTCATCCACCTTGATTGTTTCAACAGTTGAATTTAATAGGTGCTGATGATGTTTTTCATTTGTTTGAGGGAACCGATCAATGCAGGAATGACCTCCGTCTTTTCTCTCCAGAACTTTTGTATTTCCATTTTCAATTCTTGACACTGGAGCATTTTTCTCTCCCCTTAAAAACAACTTTGTTATGAAATCTGATGTTAAATAAGTGCTTCATTCCATATGGAACTTTCTCTTGAATTTCATATACCTTATTAAATATGCTAACACTTTCAAAAAATAAACTGAGTGTTGCATAAGTTTAAAATCCAGGGCGTAAACTGAAAACAAATATTAGCAGTTCAGTATTACTACAGTAATTTAATTTCGTCATTTCATTTCTGCATTTAGTACTCAATTTGCTTGATGATCATTCTTGCTGTCGAATCCGCTTGCGCTATCTATGCTGGAATTAACAAAAGAAATGTAAGTCTTATTGTATTTGCTTGTCTTCTTTTAGCCTTTAGTTGTGACACTGGCATTCGTTTTCCTGTATTTTTCCGTTAACATGTGCTGCGAACTGAGTAGGTTATCAAGTGCAAAAATGTTCACTGCAACCATGAAGCAGCCGTGGATAAAATAACTGTAAATCTCGTTAGTTTTGGTAATGCAGCCAACCTCAGAGCATCACGCTCTTCCAGTTATTCACAGATAATTTGCGTACTGCCGCGTCAAACGGTGGCACTAATGCACGAACGGATGAGTGTTGCGCAGAACTCGATTAGAACAACTGATAGAAGATAAGTCACCCTGAGTCAAAGCCGTTATTTAAAGAAGTGTGATGAGTCAGCGGAAGCTAACAACAGCGCAAGACATCGGGGGAAACTGAAAGAAACGTTGAAAAGTTTCAAGCTGGCAAGGTTAATGAATTTGTCATGCAATGTGTCTGTGTTTGTTGAGATCATGACTTTGAACCTCTTGCATACGCAGAACGTCTCTGAGTTGTGAGGACCGCTCGATTCGCAGCCTTTCGATGCTTACGCTGTAATGCGCTGATCACTGCATCGTAAAAGGGCACACTTCTCTCCAAAAGCAGACATGCCTCTATCTTGTTCTTTCATGCTGAATGCTGGTTTCCTCGCCGACGTGTGCCGCCTTTCGCCTCCCAAACGAGAAGCTCAAACAGTGGTGGTAAATGTGTATCCTAAACCAATTTGTCTCACAGGGTCAGCTTCTTTTATTTCTTAATTTATTGAGGTCCCCTGTTCCCGAAGGAGAATGGCGTCCGTCCTTGCCTGGCTCTGCCATTTATTTCTTATTATGCGTCGAAACTAACTCTTCTGCTGTCGCTCTTGTTTCTTCGTTCTAATAACTGTCTCCAAGCCGTATAGAAACATGGACCTGACAGAGGCAAGGAATTAATGGATTTTTGTAGAAAGAGTTACGCCTTTTTCAACCTAAATATTAGGCAGGTTACCGAAAGTATCTGAGAAAGGGATATCTTTCTTGTTTGACTATGGCTGCATGGTGCCATGGCTGAAGATTGGGAGCCGAGATGCATAAGTTGTTCAGCCTCCTGGAGAGCTTTATCTCCTCATTCCACTGGTTGATAAGCCGTTGTTAATTGGTTCCTCATAATTTTCGTCTTTCTTGAGTTAAATAAAGAGCAAGCTATCTTAGTTGTGTTGCATGAGGAAACTGTCATATGACAGAGGACTCCACGTATTACTCACCAGGACAATATCATCTGCGTGCTCAAGGTCAACAAGACATCTACCTGGATACCTTGAACCGTGCCATCCATCTAGAATGAGTCTCTCGTCTATTCTATGGTTATGACTGTTTCAGAAGAGAAATTTGGGAACAGTGTTGAATAGCAAGAACAAAAACACATCACTCTGGCGAAGTTCGCGGCTAGTATTTCTTGTTGACTTTCATTTCTATGTCATCAAGTAGAAGTGCCGTAATTTAATGGTAATATTCACAGCTATGCGACAAGTATTGCGCATTGGTTCATGCATTCCTTTCCATAAAGTATTGTTCATTTATCTACGTCAGAAGAATGAAGACGAATAACCTGACCGAAGTTTGGGGCCAGAATCTTTCAGTTCTGAATCCGGCACTCTATCGGCAGCGTAGTGAAACTCAAGATGCATCAAAATCTGCGGAAGAAAGTGAAAACTCAAGTTGATGATGAACTTGAAACTACGAATCAGTTATTTGTTCGCCGGCAAGGGGTAGAAAATTAGGTAGATAATGGCAAAAATTCATAATCAACTGCTAGACGCCCAGCGAGCATCTGACACGGTTTGGGTAGATGGCATGTGACAAACCGGCGTATCAGAAGAAATCGCGAAGACACTGAACAAATGAATGAAAGAACAATTTTATATGCCACTGATTTTTGTGTATATTTCTTTTTAAATGAAACATAACGACGAAATGTTTAAGTTGGAAGCTGGCACTAAACTGCTGATGTACAATTCAATCAAAGACTATAACGGCACGGCTGCAACAGCGAACGGAGTGAGGGCAGCATGGGATGCGATCATGCAAAAGGTAAGTTTTGGAATGAACCTTGTAGTGTGTTGCAAGGCAATTTTGGAATTTTTCTGCACGTGTCAGTAAGAATTAAATAGGTTGTTCTGCTGAGGAACGTAGTAGACAATTGTTTGGCCTCACATTCATTTTAATTTACAGTTCTATGAAGTAGGGGAAATACTCCACTCTGTTTTGGTGGAGCCTGAAAACGGGTGAAATTTTGTTGATCGCGTAAAACGTAGAAATGTGGCCCGAGTGGTGCCCAAGAGTGGTTCTGTAAGAAGTGAA